CCTTTATATATTTGGGTTCATTTCAGGACTTTGCCGGTGCTTTCATGAATCTGTCTATTAATCTGTCAGTACCACGTTGTTTAGATTATTGTAGCAATATGATTTGTTTTAATAGTCTCCCCTCATTACTTTCCATTTTCAGAATTTTTGGGGTCTTCTAATGTGGGTTATATTCCTTATTTTAAAATTAATATTCAGTAAAATTCACTCCTTGTGGAGTACATTTCTATGGGCTTTGACAAATACTTGGAAGTTGTGTATCTATCCACACAGTTCTGTCACCCCCAGATTCCCTCATACTGCCCCTTTATAGTCAACTTCCCCTTCACTTTGGTTTTCCATCCCTTTAATTTTGCCTTTTTGTGATTTTATTTTTCTATATAGATATCAAATCAGTTTTTCTAACCTATCCTCAAAATTGTTTTTATAGTTTGTGTAGGTTCTGTGTTAAATAAAGAGGTAACTTAGATTTGACATGTTGATGTTGATTATTACTATTAGGGATGTCAATATTACTATCTATTAATACAGTACCTTTTTAAAAATTCATTATAAAATAATTTATCTTTTTGAATGATATTCCATAAGTTATGTCTTTTTTCATTATAAGGTTAATTCTTTATGCCAATTTTGTGCCCAGCTACCTCACTAAATTCTCATTATTTGTATAGTTTAAATTAGGGACCCTCAGACCGTTGGAGGGTCGTTGGAGAGTGCGGTGCACATGCACACTGTGGGCCCAAGACCAGGTGGCTGCTAAGCAGGACAGGCAGCGTCGGCAAAAACACCTGGCAGGCCGGATAAATGTCCTCAGCGGGCTGCATGTGGCCCAGGGGCTGCAGTTTGAGGACGCCTGGTTTAAATGCATTTCTTGGAGTTTCCTAGTCACATATGTAACTCATAATAATTTTATTACCTCTTCTAATTCTTATACATTTAATTTTCTAATTTCTTGTTTTGTCCGACTTCTTTCTCTTACTAAGTTTGCCTGAGAGCCTCAGAATGGGCATCTCTCATCATCTTTCTGCCCTGTGTCTCCCTTCTGTGCATTTGGCAGCCCATCACGTGCTGTGGACAGGGGTTTCAAATTTCTTCTGATTTCTTGGAAGTTGAAATTTAGACTTTTGTTTCTTATTCTCATTTCTTTTGGATGAATCTTCAGGAGCAAGTAGAAAAGCTACTTATCTACTATTAAAATTTGCAGACTCCTTAAATTAATAATTTTGACCAAAATATCATCCTTACATGGAAATCCTTCTCTAGGAAATAGCTGGAAAGCTACTTAGTTTTCCAATCCTCTTCTCCTATTTATCTCTTCTGTTTCCAACTTTTTAACTGTAAATAAAGTGAAACTTACGTGCTTACAGTAAATTTTTACTATTTAAATAAAAATTTATTATTACAAATCAAACATGCTCCAGCCCAAGCAGAACTGTCTTCCAAGGCTCTCAACCTTTGGCATCCCTGCTTTCGAGTGTGGGCTGGACTTAATGCCTTGCTTCCAAAGAATAGAGAATGGAAGGAGAAAAACAACAACTTTACAGTTAAGTAAACTGAAAGACATTACCTTTAACCAAGTGATCATGGTAAATGTCACCAGTGATAAATCATGTTAATATCATGTACTCCTCAATATGATGAGAAGTGTACTTCTCTGTGGATCTAAAAACCTACAATCTCCGTCTACCCAGTCTAATGAGAAAAACATAAGACAAACCTAAATTGAGAGATACTACAAAATATTCGACCATTACTCCTTAAAACTATTAAAGTCGCGAAAAAATAAATAAGGAAAGATGGAAACTCACAGACCACAGGAGAATAAGGAGAAATGACAACAATGTGATGTGGTATCCTAGATTGGATCCTGCACCAGAAAAAGGACTTAGAGGAAAGTTAGTGAAATCCAAGTATATTTTGAAGTTTAATGTACCCATGTTGCTGTTATGGTCTGAATGTTTCTGTACCCCCAAGCCACCAAAATTTATATGTTTAAAACCTTACTCCCAAGATGATAGTATTAGGAAGTAGGACTTTTGGGGAGGTGATTAGGTCATGAGGGTGATCCCTCATGAATAGGATTAGTACCTTTATAAAAGAAAACCCAGAGAGCTAGCTTGGCCCTCACACCATGTAAGAGCATAGCAAGAAGATGCCATCTATTAATATTAACCAGAAAATAGTTCTGCACCAGACTCCAGATCTGCTGGCACCTTGCTTGGACTTCCAGCCTCTAGAACTGTGAGGAGTAAATGTTTGTTGTTTATAGGCTACCCAGTTTATGTTATTTTGTTATAGCAACCTGAACAGACTGAGACTGTTGGTTTCTTAGTTTTGACTAATGTACTATGATAATGTAAGATGCTAACAAATGGGGAAACTGGGTGAAAGGTATCTAGGAATACTTACTAAGAAGGAAAAGTTGAGAATCAAATTGTAATCCTTCTAAGCTATGAGTATATTTTGGTGATTTATATAACCTAAATAATTTACTTTTTGAAGAGATATAAAAACTCATTTTCCTCCCCTTACAATTCTAGAAGACAATTTATTCATTTAATGGAGAAACATTTGGAAAGAGGTCAAAAGTAGCAATGATAATGACCCAAAGTTGAAAATTATAACATTTATGATGAGAAATTTGTAAAACAATTTCTAATAGGAAATGAAAAAACAGAGAAGTAGTCTGCTTAAAATTTTTGTTATAAATTGACAGTTTATACTTGTGTATATTTATGGGGTTGAAAGCGATGTTATGATTTATTAATATAATGTGAGATAATTAAATCAAGCTAATTAACATATACATCACCCCAAATACTTAATTTTTTGTGGTGAGAACATTTGAAATTTGCTCTTTTGGCAATTTTAAAATGTACAATACACTATTATTAACTGTATTTGTGCTGTGCTATATATCTAAAAAGAATGCCTTACTCCTGTCTTAACTGAGATTTTGTATCCTTTGACCAGCATCTTCCCATTCTCTCCACCTCCAGCTTCTGTAGCCACCACTCTACTCTCTGCTATGCTGAGGTCAGTTGATTTAGGTTTCACATATAAGTGAGAACATGCACTATTTGTCTTTCTGTGCTATTTCACTTAGCATAATGTTTTCCAATTCCATCATGTTGGCACAAGTGACAAAATTTCCTTATTTTAAGGCTGTATAGTATTCCATTGTGTATATATACTACATTTTCTTTATCCATTCATCCATTGATGGATACTTAGGTTGATTCCATAACTTGGCCATTGAGAATAGTGCTGCAATGAACATGGGAGTGCAGACATCTCTTAGACATACTGATTTCAGATATTTTGGGTAAATACCCAGAAGTGGGGTTGTTGGATCATACATTCTATTTTTAGTTTTTTTAAGGGACTTCTATTGACTTCCACAATGGCTGCACTAATTTACATTCCCACCAACATTATACAAGGGTTCTCTTTTCACCACATGCTCCTCAACACTTATTACTCTTTTTTTTTATAATAGCCATTCTTACAGGTGTGAGGTAATATCTCCTTGTGGTTTTAATTTGCATTTCCCTAATGATTAGTGATGTTGAGCATTTTTTCATGAATCTGTTGACCATTTGTATGTCATCTTGAGAAATGTTTATTTAGGCCCCTTGCCCATTTTTAAATTGAGTTCCTTACTTTCTCATTATTGAGTTGTCTGAGTTCCTTATATATTTTGGATATTAACCCCTTATTGGATATATATGGTTTGCAAATATTTTCTCAATCTATACATTGTCTCTACACACTGTTAATTGTTTCCTTTGTTGTGCAGAAACTTTTTAGTTTAATGTAATTCCATTTGTCTATTTTTGCTTTTGTTGCCTGCTCTTTTGGGGTCAAATCCAACATTGCCCAGACTAATGTCTTGTAGTTTTTCTCCACGTTTCTTCTAGTAGTTTTACAGATTTTGGTCTTAGGTTAAGTCTTTAATCCATTTTGGGTTGATTTTTGTGTATGTTGTGAAGTAAAGGTTCACCTTCATCTGTATGTGGATATCCATTTTTCTTAATGCCATTTATTAAAGAGACTAGGTTTTTCCCATTGTGTATTCTTGGCACCTTTGCCGAAAATCAGTTGACTATGTGGGTTCATGTGGGTTCATGTCTGGACTCTCTATTCTGTTCCATTGGTTAATGTATTTTTCTCATGATTTCCTTGGTTATTCAGGGTTTTTTGTGATTCCATATGAATTTTAGGATTAGTTTTATTTCTATGAAAAATGACATTGGAATTTTGATAGGAATTGTAATGAATCTGTAGAGCACTTTGGGTAGTGTGAACATTTTAACAATCTTCTTGCAATCCATGAGCATAGGATATCTTTCCATTTATTGGTGTCTTCTTCAATTTCTTTAATCAACAATTTATGGTTTTCAGTGTACAGGTCTTTTATTAATACCTCCTTGGTTAAATTCCTAAGTATTTTAAATCTTTTGTAGCTGTTATAAATGCAATTGTTCTCTTGATTTCCATTTGCATAGTTCATTGTTAGTGTATGGAAATGCCACTGATTTATTTGTGTGTTCATTTTGTACCCTGCAACTTTATGTATTGCTTTATTCTAATGGTTTTTTGTTTTTGTTTTTGTTTTGGTGGAGTCTTAAAGGTTCTTAATATAAGATTATGTCTTCAGCAAACAATGACAGTTTCTTTTTTTTTTTTTAACAAGTGAAACCAACAATTTATAATCTTTTATTTTTTCTCCATTTCTTGATTCCAACTATTACAATGCTGAGTTCTTTTACATTTCCAAGAAAATGCTTAATTTACTGCCATACAATCTTGTTTCAAGTCACTAAGTATGGTGGAACATTTCCTAATTTGTTTTACAAAATAATAAAACTCTTACTCTTAAATTTGATTCACAGCGATAAATATTTGAGTAATGTCATTCATAACTTTATATTCTGAAGGTACTTAAATTTTCTAATAAAAGGAACAATACTTCTAAAAAATTATTCAGAATACAGAATAGAACAGGAAAATAAACATGTTATACATTGTGTTGTCTCCAGCCTCACCCTGACCTTCCACTACTTAAAATATGGAATTTTCTTTTCAACTATAAAGTGAAGAATGCATCAGATTCTACTAGGGGTGGGAAAAGCTGTGGGACGTGGCCCTGGAACGTGCACTGGCCATAGCACTAATGCGAGCCCTGGCTGCAACTCTGGCTTGTGCTCTCTCTTCCTCATCTCTCAAAGCCTCTTCATACCAGGTCGGGAAGGCACTAGGGATGGTATCATGGACCTTGGCTAAAAACTCAAGGACTTTCATCTTGCTGGTTTCAGCATAGGCTCGTGGACCCCACAGGAATTCATAACATGGAGGATCACTGTTAGCCACCTGCCGGTACTCCAGGTACTTTTGTTCCACCAAATCTTTGGTGAGGAGCTTCCTGAGATCTCCAAAAATAATATGCATCCTCCCCTCATATAACCCCATCACATTTAATATTTGCCAAACTTCCCCCTCAGTGGCACAATTGCCTTTCGTGAAGATCACACCCAGGACAGTCATCAGCAGGCCAGTCTTGGGTATACCTCTGTCATCACTCATCATTGCATCATAGCTTAGATCTAGTTTGTTGATGAGGACATAAATGTGCCTATTGGGATCTACTTCCTTTATGTCAAGGCCAAACACCATCTCCAGGTACTCTGCAGCTTTCTTCAGGACCTCATGGAAGTGGCTCTTGTGCATTTGGATTATATTTTTCAGCATATCTACCTTCGTAATTTGCTCTTTCAATTGATACTTGTACAGCAGGTAACACACCAATGTAAATACTGTCTTATCTATACGGTTTGTCTGCTCATAATCAGTGGCAGGCTGAGCCCTTCCCTTATTTGGTTGTTGACGGTTTCATTGGATCTTATATATGAAACAGGTGCACCAGTAGAGGTGGCTCTCTGAGGCCCCTGGGGATTTCTGGTGGTCCTAGAAGCAGTTGAGCTCTGGGGAGTACTCTCCAAAGGAGTAGAGGAAGAGGAAGGAAGCCCTCCTCCCACTCCTGCAGCGGCCTGAGCACCCATTGGATGCTCGGTTGCTTGTTGGGCTTGATGGCGTTTCTCATGGGCACAGAGCTTACTCTTCAGACCCCGGGGCATGATGGCTTTAGACAGGGGCAGTGGGCAGGTAGGCAGGTGATCTCTGTGACCTGCTTGGAGACACAGAGGGATGGAAGCACAGGCAGAGTTCTGTGGGACTCTCTCTATCCTGGAGTAATTAGTGTTCTCAGTCCTCACTCAGTTTTCTTGCTTTAGCTTCTGCTAGGGCCTGGGACTCTTCTCTCTGCTGACCTTAGACTGTCTCCTTTGAGCAACGCCCCTACATTTCTTAATTCCAGGCAGTGCCCAGAGCTCCTCCGTTGATGAACCTGATGCTAACCTGCTCACGCCAAGGCTGTCAGTGACAGTTTCACTTCTTTCTTTCCTGTTTGGATGCCTTTTATTTTTTTCTCTTGCCTAGTTGCTCTGGCAGGGACTTCCAATACTCTGTTGAATAGAAGTGGTAAGAGTGGGCATCCTTGTCTTCTTCCAGATCCTAGAAGAAAGGCTTTCAATTTTTCACTATTGAGTATAATATCAGCTATGAGTTTCTTATATATGGCCTTTATTGTATTGTACTACATTCCTTCTATACCTAATTTAATGAGAGTTTTTATCATGAAAGGATGTTCAATATTGTCAAATGCTTTTTCCGTATCTGTTGAGATGATCATGTGGTTTTATCTTTCATTCTGTTAACGTGTTGTATCACAGTTATTGATTTTCATATGTTGAACCATCCTTGCATCCCAGGGATAAATCCCACTTGATCATGATGGATGATACTTTCAGTGTGTTGTTGGATTTGGTTTCCTGGTATTTTGTTGAAGATTTTTACATCTATTTCATCAAGGATATTGGCCTGTGATTTTCTTCATTGTAATGTCCTTGTCTGGCTTTGATATCAGAATAATGCTGATCTCATGAAAAGAGTTTGGAAGTATCCCTCTTCTTTGATTTTTTTGGAAGAGTTTGAGAAGAACTGGTATTAGTTCCTCTTTAAATGTTTGGTAGAATTCAGCAGTGAAGCCATCAGGTACTGGGCTTTTATTTTGATGGGAGACTTTTTATTACTCATTCAATTTCCTTACTCATTATTGGTCTGTACAAATTTTCTATTTCTTCATGATTCAATCTTGGTTGATTGTATATGTTTATGAATTTATCTATTTCTTCTAATTATATGCCAACTTCTTGGCATATAATTAGTCATAGTAGTCTCTTAACGATCCCCTGTATTTTTGTGGTAGCAGTTGTAATGTCCCCTCTTTCATTTCTGATTTATTTGAGTCTTTTTTATTTTTTCTTAGTCTAGCTAAAAGTTTGTCAATTTTTATTTATATTTTCAAAAGTAACACTTATTTCATCTTTTATATTGTTTTTCTGACCTATTTCATTTATTTCTGTCCTCATCTTTATTATCTCCTTACTTCTAACTTTGGACCTTGTTCTTTTTTCTGTTTCCTTGAAGGGTAATGTTAAGTTGTTTATTTGAGATATTTCTTCTTTTTGATGTAGGCATTTATTGCTATAAACTTCCCTCTTATAACTGCTTTTATTATATCCCATAATTTTTAGTAGCTGTATTTTCATTCATTTGTCTCAAAATATTTTTACATTTCCCTTTTAATTTCTTTTTTTATCCATTGGTTGTTCAGGAATATGTTGTTTAATTTCCATGTATTTATTTCCATGTATTCTGAAATTCCTACTATTAACTGATTTCTATATAGTTTCACTCCATTGTGGTCAGAAAAGACACTTGATACGATTTCAATCTTCTTAAATATGCCAGGCTTGTTTTGTGCCCTAAGTTATCATCAATCCTGGAGAATATTCTGCATGTTCTTGCTTAGAATGTGTATTCTGTTGGTGTTGGATGGAGTGTTTTGTATATGTCTGTTAGGTACATTGGTCTAAAATGTTGTTCAAGGTGAATGTTTCCCTATCAATTTTCTGTCTGAATGATCTGTCCATTGTTGAAAGTGGGATTGAAGTCCCCTATTATTATGGTATTGTAATCTATCTCTCCCTTCAGATCCTTTAATATTTGTTTTATGTACAGTATTAAGATGCTTTGATGTTGGATGCATATATGTTTAAAATTATTAATCCTCTTGATGAATTAACCCTTTTATCATATATAATGTCCTTCTTTGTTTCTCTTTACAGGTTTCGAATTAAAGCATATTTTGTCTGAGATAGTTTTCAATGTTACCCCAATATTTATACTGTTTGGACTATTTTTATCACAAAATATGGTTTTCTCAACCAATTATATGGTACATTATTCTAGAAATTTTATCATCACTTAATAAGCCTTTAAAATATCTTTACTGTTTAATAAAATGACACATAATTATTGAGAACCTCCTCTGTTCATCATACTAGAGTATTATATGGTGGCTTTTTAAAGTTTTTGAGCAAATGACATTCCATTTGCAAACTTTTTTTAACTTAGTAATTACTTATGTGACTTAAACACAGTAATTGAATGCCCATCCACTCAGCACTATTTCTTGCTGAAACAAATTTGCTTCTCTTGGTTTATCCCAGTAATCTCTAAACAATTTTGGTTGTTCACTTCATTCATTTTTAAAAAGTTGAATATACATATATAATGTACATTTATACATATATACTTATGTATATGTATATATTTATTAGTATAGTATGTTCATTATAAAGTATATAAGAAAGGATAGGATAAAGATGAAATAAATTGTTTATAAATATCCTATAACTTGTAATAGCTTTATACTAGCTACTTAATATATGAAGGCTGAATGTAAACTTAGTTCAAGGTTCATTTAGTAACAAGTTTGTCAACTCAAATTTTGAAATTATTTTAACACTTTTTTCTTCTTTTTTCCAGATCCAATTAAGAGATAATAAAAACTCACTATGTACAATGCAATATTCTAAGTTCTGTCTATAAATTAATTTAATTTTAACGACCATATGAGATAGGTGTTATGAGTATGATGAGGAAATTGAGGCATAGGAGTGTTAAGCTAAAGGTCACATACATTATATGTGATAGCATTTTGACTCAAACACAAGAGCCTGGTTCTATTTGTCTCTCTCTTAGATTTGCACTGTCTAATATGGTAGTCACCAGCCACATGTTGCTATTTATATTTAAATCTAATTATATTTTAAAGATAAAAATTTAGCTCCCCCATTGCACTTAGCTATATTTCAAGTATTTAAAAACCATGTGCGGGCTGGGCATGGTGGCTTATACCTGTAATCCTAGCACTCTGGGAGGCTGAGCAGGTAGATCTCTTGAATTCAGGAGTTCAAGACCAGTATGAGCAAGAGTGAGACTCCGTCTCTACTAAAAATAGAACACATTAGCTGAGCATGATGGCATATCAGGCTGAAGCAGAATTGCTTGAGCCCAGGAGTTTGAGGTTGCTGTGAGTTAGGCTGATGCCATGGCACTCTAGCCTGGACAACAGAGCAAGACTCTGTCTCAAAAATAAACCAACAAAACTCCATATGTACCCAGTGACTACTACATCGGACGGCACCAATGTAGAACATTTCCATCATCACAGTGAGTACTATTGGACTGTGCTGACTTAGACAATTGGTCATGATGTTTTTATTTTTTAATGTGGCTTTGGAAGAGCTCATGCTATGAGACAAGCATGATGTTAGCTTTTTTCAGTTGTTTGCATGATTGGTGTTATCTTTAACCCAGTGTTTCTTTGTAGGACTCTTTGAAAGACAGTGATCTATTTTGTGGTGTTTAATATTTTGCTAAAACCAGATAATATAATCTATAGTCCATTTAACTGGACACATGTAAACTGCAGAATATAAAATAACAGGAATGGGTGGGGGACACCCCTGTCATGAACCCCTTGATGCTGTGAAATACCTCCCTTATAGACTGATACATGATTCAAGTGAGAACCTCAGTGTCAATTTGGATAAGCAAGTGGACATTCTAATAGAGCCTCCCTATATCTTCTGCATGCTTCTTAGAGGATGCAAGCACTGTACTTTAGAGGTCACTATTCTTATTCCTCAACTTTACGTTCTTGATGTATGTATTTCCCTCTTCTTTAGTGCCTTACCATTTCATCATCATTGCTCTGCTTTCATCTTTGCAAAGGAATAAGCAAACCTAAGACAAGAGACCAGCAGGACTGCTGCTCAGCAGAACTGAGACCCTACAGGGACACAGATGTTTACGATGTAGGATAAACAGCCAGGAGATGATGAATGAAAGGGTCAAAATGAAAGTTCTTTAAAGTTGCCTTGTTTGATTTTCTTAAGAAAAATGTCTTCTTGGTTGCTCTGGGACAAGATAAAATTCTTAGCAATTTTCACAAACATTTTGTTTATAGTGCCACATTTTCCATTTGGCTTAGTGTTTCATTAAAACTCTTTTTATTCATGCATTTGTAAAAAAAATTATGACATTTTAATTGAATTTATTTTATAATGTGATGGTGCCTGATAGTTATATTTTTCGTGTGTGAGAGACAACAAAATGGAAGTAAATGTAATTTTGCAAATACTTTTCAAATAGCCTTGCAGTTATGTATGGAGTGTTTTAGTTGGTTTTTTTTTTTGAACAGAGTCTCACTTTGTTGCCCAGGCTAGGAGTGAGTGCCGTGGTGTCAGCCTAGCTCACAGCAACCTCAATCTCCTGGGCTCAAGCGATCCCTCTGCCTCAGCCTCCTGAATAGCTGGGACTACAGGCATGTGCCACCATGCCTGGATAATTTTTTTGTTTGTTTGTTTATATATTTTTAGTTGGTCAATTAATTTCTTTCTATTTTTAGTAGAGACAGGGTCTCACTCAGGCTGGTTTCAAACTCCTGACCTTGAGCAATCGGCCCATCTCGGCCTCCCAGAGTGCTAGGATTACAGGCATGAGCCACCACGCCCGGCTGTATGGAGTGTTTTAAAGTGAAAGATGGCAGAAAACTAGTAGACATGTTAGCTTCAAGACTCTATGGCTGGATCTTCAATGAGATTTGTACTGGGCATTTGTTTTCGATAGAACTGGTCCACACGTTTACTGGACATTTAATATCTCT